CTGCATGGTCTCAATCACCTCCAGATTATCTGAGTTGATGATTAGGCGATTGCACCCTGCCCTTTGCGCTAGTGTTAGTCCAAATTTGAGGGCTAAAGCTTCTGCCATCAGAACATCCACACAATGGTCAATCTTTTCATTTCCTCCTGCAATAAACCTACCTTTGTCGTCTCGCAAAACCGCCCCCATCGTACCCTTCAGCATGTCATGGTCAAAAGAGGCGTCAACATTGAGTTTCACGAAACCCCTTGGGGGACAATGCCAACCCCCTTTTTTCATGGACGCTTTGAAGATGATGCATTTACAAAATTGTATGTGAGGGCTATGATCCCCATTGATATCTGAGTTGCATTCTGAGTTGTTTCCTTGTGCACTAATTTCCTTCTCTCCCACCATAGATACCAAGCTGAAATAGCTATCATTTCTCGTATATTTTGGTACCCCATAATACGCAAATCTTGATCTGGAAGAACTAAAAGGTATTCCAGTATTGCCTCTCCAGCACGATCAACCTCACAAGCTCTATCAATAATCTCATCTATTCCTAGCCTCTTCCAAACCTCCTTTGCTTTATTACATAGGAAAAGCATATGCTTCGTGTCTTCTACACCCTGAGAGCAAGTAGGGCAAAGGGGCGAGACCTTCATGTGTCTATTAGCAAGTGTTGCCCGACATGGGAGAGTGCCATGTAACGTACGCCATATAAATTTTTTGACTTTTGCCGGACAGGATAATTTCCATATCTGACACCAAATAGGGTTAGTTGTGGTTCGCCCCATCCCGTTAGAGTGTTTTAGTTTACTGCCGTACTGATCATTCCACTCCACGGAATAAGCAGACCGTACCGAGAACATACCATTTTTCGTATAACTCCAAGCAATGAAATCTGACATGTTATGTTGCGAAAGAGGGATTTTAAGAATCTGTTCAGCATCAATGGGCCACATAGTTTGTCTAATCAGGTCCTCATCCCAAATATTGGAAACAGGGTCAATCAGATCAACCACTCTTGATAACAGTTGTCCCCTCCTAGGAGTCACAATCTTCCTAGTGGCACAATTTGGGATCCATGCATCTTCCCAAATGTTGATGTTATGTCCGTTTCCCACTCGCCAAATATAGCCGCGTTTCAGAGTAGTAATGCCTGCCATAATGCTTTGCCAGGTGAAGGAAGCACCATGTTTTGGCTTGGAATTCAGCAAATCGCCATCAGGGTAGTACTTGGCCCTTAGAATAGTGGCACACAAGGAATCGGGATTATCAAGGAGACGCCATGCCTGTTTGGCCAGCAGAGCCAGGTTGAAACAGTGGATATCACGGAATCCCATTCCTCCTTGGGTTTTTGGTACACACATTTTCCACCAGGCCATCCAGTGCATCCTCCTCTGGTTCTCCTCGTCTCCCCACCAGAAATGCGTTATCACGTCAATGATTCCTTCACAATTTTTTTTAGGAATTTTAAAGACCGACATTGCATAGGTAGGTATGGCTTGGATCACAGCCTTGAGCAGGATCTCCTTCCCCCCGGCAGATAGTAGTTTTTCCTTCCAACCACTAATTTTCTTAACAATACGTTAAATCAGAAATTTAAAGCAGTCTGTTTTATCAACGCCCACATTTGCTGGCAAGACCAAGTATTTGTCATTCAGGGCCTCCGTCATTATATTGAGCATTGTACACAAGTGTTCTCTGACCTCTACCTTTGTATTGGGGCTAAAGAAAATACTAGACTTTTCCACGCTTACCAGCTGTCCCGACGCCGCACAATATAAATCTAGTGCTAATTTCAGGGCCGCCGCATTATGTTGGTTGGCTTTCATCAAGATCAACGAGTCATCCGCAAAGAGGAGATTAGTTACTGGTGGGGCATCTCTACAGACTTTAACTCCTGAAATGTTTCCATTCTCCTCAGCATGCGAGAGCAAGGCATTCAACCCTTCTATGCACAGCAGGAATAGGTAAGGTGATAGCGGGTCCCCCTGTCTCAACCCTCTAGTAGGCTTAAAACTCTCACTTTCCTCTGCATTTATCCTTACTTTGTATTCTACTGTTGTGACGCATTGCATAATCAAATTAACCCACTCTCGACGGAAACCCAATTTCAGCATAATCTCCTTCAGAAAAGCCCACTCGACTCTATCGTAGGCTTTGTGCATGTCAAGTTTTATAGCACACAAGCCCTCTCTACCCTCTCTTTTGTTCTTGATTGTGTGAAAACATTCGTAGGCCATTAAAATATTATCGGTTATCAATCTTCCTGGTACAAAAGCACTTTGTGTTGGACTAATAATTTCTGGTAGAAGGATCTTCAATCGAGAGGCCACCATTTTTGCAATTATTTTGTATACCACATTACATAAGCTGATCGGCCTAAATTAGGATACCTTTTCTGGTGTGTTAATCTTGGGAATCATCACGATTGCAGTATCATTCCAATCATCCGGGATAGTACATGTGTTGATTGCTTTCAGAACCTCCTCAATTAGGTCTTCCCCTAGCATGGGCCAGAACCTTTTATAGAAGATAGCGTGGAGTCCATCTGGTCCTGGAGCTTTCAAGTCCCCAATATCAAATAAAGCCTCGCGAACATCTTCTGCGGTATAAGGAGCAAGTAGAGCATTGTTCATTTCGTTTGACACTCTCTTACGCACAATTGATAAAACTTCTTGATTCGGATGCTGAACTTCCGATGTGAAAAGCTTTGTGAAATATTCAGTTATGTGATTCGTCAACTCCTTTTCTGTTAACCATTTTCCAGACTCATCTAATAGTTTCTTTATATTATTCCTTTTTTTCTAGCCGTGGCAGCATTATGGAAAAAAGACGTATTACGATCCCCATGCATCAACCAGTTTGCCCGTCCTCTTTGTAACCAGAAAATTTCCTCTTGATCCAAGATATTTTCAATTAGCACAATAATTTCCTTCTGACGACCTTGAGACTCCATATTTAATGGGCCCCGCCTTAATCTCTCCAATTCTTTTTTTAATTTTCTAATTCTCACCTTTGGTCCCTTTAGAGTTTCCCGGTCCCATGTATGTAGATCGGCATGTACTGCTCTCGTACGATTAGCAAGTGATGGTCCAATCCCGGCAAGTCTTGCTTTCTCCCAAGATGCCTTAACAATTTCAGTAACTGTCTCTTCCTTCAACCACCTCGCCTCAAACTATTTAACCCGTCCTTCTGGTCGTTTAAAGATTTTTTCATCCAAGTAATCCGTATCCAGTATGATTGGGCGGTGGTCAGAATGAACATGTTCTTCATTGATAACTGCCGCTCGTGGAAATTTGTTTGCCCACGCTATATTGCAGACCCCTCGATCAAGACGTTCACGAATTTCGCCTCTCCTCCAAGTGAACAGGTCACCCGTATAGCCAAGGTCATCCAGCCCGCAATCCATTAGGCATTCACGAAATTCTCTCATCATACCAAGTGGTCTAGCAATACCACCCTCTTTTTCTAACGGGTATAAAATTTCATTAAAGTCCCCCAAAACAACCCAGGGGTGATTGCCCTTACTATATAGGTTGCGAATATCGTCCCAAGAAAGATGGCGCTCATTCCATTTCGGACGACCATAGAAACCCGTGAACCGCCACTGAACCGCTTCCTCATTCATAAAAACAATATCAATAAAGTGGGGCGAGATATAGTTCAACTCGATTTTATTTGACTCCTGATAAAACAAAACTAGGCCACCGGCCTTACCATCGCTTTCCACTACTAACATAGAACCAAAACCTAAATTACGACGAAGCTCATCGACTTTACAATTATTCAAATGAGATTCAGAAAAAAAAATCTGCCCTTGTACGCTCCTGTAGGTCCAGGAGCTCACAAACTGCCGTGCTGGAGAGCATACCACGGCAGTTCCATCCTAAAATTTTCATTTGGCTCGGCGGTCCTCCTCGGAGGCCGCCGATGTGCCAATCTCGTCTTTCTCTTCGCCAACCGATTCCACTCCCTGCGGAACGTACTCTTCTTCCTTCTCGTCGGTCTCCTTTGCGACGTGTGTAACTCCGCCCTCCTCGTCCTGGACCGCTACAACTCTACCCGTACACACCCGTTTGGATGAGACGATTACATCACCATATAACATGCGTTCATAGCTATCCATCTCTTTTTCAAAAGAAAACTCTAAGTCACTCCCCGTCGGTTGAATTCCAAAAGAATGCCTCCTTTTTTTCCCTAGTACTTGTTTGCGGGCATCCTCAGCTCTGTTTGGCTGCCCCTTTCTTTTGTCTTTCTTCTTTGAGTTGCCCTGCATAGAGTTTTTAGCTGCACTGAATGTAAAGCGTACAACATTATTTTTCACACCACCACCTGTAGTGATCCTTGCAGCAATCGCGCTGGACAGCGCCTCTAGCACACTCGGCTGGAAGAGGACGCTGCCATTAACACCCCCAGGCGCTGGGACCTGGCTGGGCATCCCCTGAGAATGAGTGCAAATGGCCACCTGACCCGCCTGGATGGCTTGGACCGAGTCAACATTAGTCTGCAGCTGCTGGTTTTGCATCATTTCCTGACGCAAGTCCTCCAGGGCTACTTGGCCCTGGACCTTATTGTCCCGCCCGGCAAGAGCAGCCATTGCGCCCTCCTGGTCCTCTTGACCAAGTGCCGCGCCTGCCGGTGCAGGCTGTAAGACCCCTCGAGCCCGGCCCTCCTGGCCGGTGGACATCTTGTCGGAAGAGCTGGCCCCTTTATCGGAGACCGTGAGACCACCCACGCCAGTGGCCACCGTGGCGACGTCGGCGGGTTTGGCGATGTTGTTGTCGACGATGCCTGTTGGCGATGTTGTTCCCAAGTGCCTGCTAACCCCTCCTCCCTCGCTCGAGCGGCCAAGTGCCTGCTATCTCAATGGACGGTCATTGACATATTCGAACAGATGCTTGCTGGTGGTTTAAGATGGCCTGAGTCTCGAGAGAAAAAGCCCAGGCCCATACTGCCGATCTGTTGAAACCCCAAACAGGAAACCCTTTCTCGCCGTAGCTGAAGAAGTCATGGCCTTGGCCGCCGCCCTCGCTCGAGCGGCAACGCGCATCCTCCACGGCGGCTTCCCGCCGCACGCCACTTCTGCTGCACTCTACACCCGCAGCCGCCTGTTCTGCGACCTCCCCGCCGGCAACGAGCCCTCCGCTCCGGGGGCCAAGGAGGAGCAGTGGGAGGCGGCTGAGGCGGAGATCCTCCGCGAAGTTGGGCCCGTCGTGGAACTTGTCAAAAACATCCTCCATTCCAGGAGGTCAGTTGTTCGTTTCTCCTCTCGTTGCAATGAATAGGAAGCTCAAGTCGCAGACTCACGGATTTCTCAGTGCTGTGCACATTTGACTCGTAAGGTTTTCATGCCATAATGGTTCGAGAAAAAGAAACATTGTAAAAGAATGTGAGCTAGGTAATCAGGATTTCCTGAGAAATCGTCAAACTGGAAAGTTTTATAAAGAGAAATACACATGGATATCATTTGCAGCAAGGAGTACAAGGAAGATAACTGTATGTGAATATTTCTGTAAGATGCAAAGCATGATTGGTTTGATGTCAAAAATTGGCATGCCAACATTTGGCAAATGCCAAATATTGGCTTGTGCTTGATTGGTTACGAATTTTACTTGACAGCCTCACAAGAAGTTGCCAATTTTTGGCAACTTTTGATATTGCCAATTGTTGGCTTGCCAAGCATTGGCAATGCCAAATGTTGGCACCAAACCAATTAGCCTCGCAATTTTCCATTTCCTATATTGCTGTGGTTATGTTTAAACAACTGGAATATGTAGGACCATCGAAGCATTCTGTGATGAAAAATGTATTGTTGGATCATCACTATCTCTACTTACTTTAAAAAATGCGTAAGGTTTCCTCTCCCGTCGAACCTGCGTTTCGCTCGTACCTTCATCCTCCGTCAGACATCTTTGGTAATCCAATAAATAGCAATAAATTCATGGTTCGTAAGCACATAAGTATCATCCTTATCTTTGGTAACCCAATAAAGATCAATCAAAAACACACATACCTATTTTGTCAGTTTAAGAAATATCAGAAAATATATGCTTTATAACTAGACCATAATATTATTTTGTTTTGCATCAAAATTTGTCCTGTATGGTCCTTTTATTGTGTTAAAAACATATTTGGTCCCGTGGCAACGCACAGGCACATACCTAGTTCAATTAAATAACTAGAATACTGGAATGACTCTTTGATAGTTCAGCTCTCTTTATTAAGGAAGGGGATTCGATTGGGATTGGAGTGTCCAAGAAGGTTGATATGGTTGATTGCATAAGGTGATATGACCATATGGCTGGGTTGAGTTGCTTGTTCGATTTTTGTTTGACAATCACACGCCCTGAGACAGCTAGTGGTGGCTCTGCATTCAGCAGCGTGCGGCTTTGTCCTCCCGTAGATAGATGCGCGTCTTGTGTGTTGAGTTTGCCTTGTGGCGTGTGCAATGATTATCAGTCTAACGACTAGTCTTGACTAGTCGTGCAACTGATCTAGTAGTCTCAATCTGATTATACACATGCTCAGTACTTTGAAGCGATCAATTTCCCGGTCCCCAATTTTTTTTGAGGCCTATGTGGAAAAAATGGATCTGAAAGGAATAAAAGGTGTGCATCAATTGGTGAGGCAGCTGCTGCCGCCTACGAAGTGGAGACCAGCAGGTGAGCTGCTTCGCCATGAACCTATATTGGCTTGAGTCTGTGTCCGCCGTCGGCGGCCGCTCGAATTCGTCCCGCCCGTTGCACATCTCAAGGTTGTGTAGATCAATCAAACAGCGTTGACCAACAAATTACCTCTCAGATCAACTATTGGTTACCTGAACCTGACGAAGGAGTAGGACACGACTAGCTTCTTCGTGTAGACTAGCTCGTTGAGTCGAGCGGTGGAGCGACTGGTCATCGACTAGTCTAGACTTGTCTGGTTGTTTGAGTCCATCAACCCAATTTGGGAGGGATAAGTGAGCAGAGCTCAGCCCGCGGGAGGGGAAAAAAATTGCAACCCTAACTTTCCAGGCTCGCTCCACAATGAGCCGCCTCACCCGGCACTAGGCCGCTACCACTGCCCATTGCCCTCCACTGCCGCTGCTACCCACCACCACCGACGGCGTCAGCGGCCAGGAGCATTACAATGCTCTCCCTTCATTGTTGGTTCTGCTCCTCCCCTGGATCCACCCCTCTGCTGTTGAGCTCCTCCCCTTGCTGCTCTACTATGCTGATGTGATCCTCCTCTGGATCAACTCAATTTTTATTGTATAATATATAGTATGTACTATGTTCTACATTACATACTAGCTATTAGTAGTTGATTACTGTAAATTGAGTACTACGGTACCATGTCGACTAGTTCAGCAGTAGTCTAGGCTAGTTACGATTAGTCTATGAGTCTCAACCTCGGCTCCACTCGTAATTCTTGGGCGTGTGTTGAGTGTGTCCATGAGTTGCGTGTGCCTTGTGTTGTTGGATGTTCATGAGTTTGCCTTGTGGGGTGTGTTGTTGTATGTCCATGAGTTTGCCTTGGGGCGTGAATGTTGTAATTCCCAGCTCCATGTAATGTTCATCCGATGGGGTGTGCTATATAGCTGTGAAGTCCTTGCGCCCCACCTTGTTTTAATCAAATGCAGGAAATCTTTCAAAAATGGTGCAGCTGATGAAAAGCGCACTTATGTAATGATATGTGCTTTTGTGTGCCTACGATCATATATCACATTTTTGATAGTGTTCTGTTATAACAGATATGGAGATGGTGCGTTTTTAAGTCCGGAAGATGAAAAGGTTGTGGTAGAAAAGGTTCTTGCTCACCACCCCCGTTTCGAAGACAAGATTGGTTGTGGACTTGATGCTATTATGGTGAGTTAGCATGATCGGTTCTCTTTACTAAGATAGACATGAGACCCTAGAACAAATCTATTTATTTATTTTTGCTTTGTTTCTTCATTGCCATGCTTGTATTATTAAATATATTATCTTCAGAAATTTATCATGTGCTTGTTAGAATATCTCAGAACCTTAGTGTGTGCAGTACTTTTGATTTCTTAGGAGGACCTCCATGAGCATAAGAATAGAACTGCAGTCTCGAGTCTCAACCATTCTCCTGTTTATTTGTCCAGAAATTTTATTATTTCTGTTGAGGCTCAATCTTGATAATGTGCAAGTTCACCTTGTGAGAGTAATCTTTTCACTTTGAACCTAAGCATATGTAAATTTTGTGGACATCTCCTAATCTGTGGCATGCCCATCATGTTTGTAGGTTAACAAACATCCTGATTTCAAGATGTCCAGATGCCTGTATGTGGTTAGAACAAATGGCGATTGGGCGGATTTCTCATACCGCAAGTGTCTCCGGGCGTACATCAAAGGGGCCTATCCATCCCATGCGGATAAGTTTATAAATAAACATCATCTAGTTCAGAGGCGGTCACATCTTGGTCTACTTCCTCCAAAGTAGAAACTACCTATATAATGTTGCCATTTTCAGGTGGCTGGCACCAAAAATCTGTTTTGGTCCTGCTTACTATCGACCCTCATGGTGCATTTTGCGTGTAGAGCTGGTCGCACCGTCTCCTTTAGCCTATGTTTGGTATGTCAAGTGAATGAGGTCACTGTCCAGGCTCTCTTTGAAAGCAATGTGCAATATCCACTTTGTTGCTAAATCATCTGGCACTAAATCCTTAAACGGCTATATTCACGCGTATGTGTTATTCGTATCAATGTTTCATGTGGGGTTAACTGTTAAAAGTGAGTCTTGACTCAGATTTTGACATTTCGTATTACGGCCAAATTTCAAGCTCTGGCCTGCGGCCCACCAATCAAAGGAAGATGGCCAATATAATATTTTATGTAGTTTCCTTTCCAATGGTTTCGTGCCTTCTTATCTTTCAGTTATACTGTTTATTTCCCTTGATACTATTCAGTTATAAGATGCCTATAGGTGCCTTTTCTGTTTATAACTGACCTGGGCAGTTTTCCTCAAGGAATTTTTTTGCTCCATACTGGATCACAAACAGGTCCTATCTCCCTCAAGGAATGTTTTAGTGTGTTTGTTCACTCATTTCGATCTATATGTAATCCATATTAAAATATCTTCGGTAGCTTCTCGCCTCGTGCTGGGTCCAGTTCGACGCCCTTCGTGTTGACGGGCTTTGAGGGCGAGGCATGTGCCGAGGTTGTGTCTCCGGTGCTACAGATCATGCCCGAGCTACAGATATTGTGTGGGGAACCTGCTTCGCCTCTGCCGACGGAGCAGCTCAAGTTGGGATCCTTCCAGGCTTCAGAGGTGGCCCTGGTGCCCTTACCACCCCCCGTGGAGCCTTGTCAAGTGTCAGACAGCCTATCACTCAGCGTCGTGGAGCATGGAGTTTCGGATGTTGCTGCCCTTCCCTCGCCTGTGACCATCAAGCAAGTGGTGCCTGTGAGTGGCATGACCATCGAGTCAAGTGTGTCGGCACCTGCTCCAAATTCTAATGCTCTCTTCGCAAAGGAGCTTTGTGACTTGCTTGCCAGCGTGGAGGTTGCTAAACCTGGTTTGGGTAGGTCAATTGCTTGCCTCCTAACTGGGACGCCAATAAGGGGCAAATCAAAGAAGGTCGGCAAAGGCAAGAGCGGTGCCATAGGCAAGACGAATGTGCTTGCTTGATGGATGATCTTCGATCTCTTGGCTCGTCCTCTTGGACTGGGTTGCCTTTGTGGTTTGGGAGGAGCATGATGTCTTGTGTCGAGGTGTTCTTCTTGGGTCATTTGGCGTGGTAGCAATGTCGAGGTTGGTTGTTGTTAGTTTGAAGGGGCGTATGTGTTGTTGTGGGGTTTCATGTCATGTGAGTAGTTCGTCTGTGGTACGTTTGTAATGGTTTTTGCATGATTTTCCATAATTAATTGGGCAATTCTTTTTTTCTTAATTAATCGATTGTTCAAAACCTCAGTTTTGAGCATCATCACAGCACTCGCCCTGAACCTCACACATATGAACCCAAACACCCCAATAAATATTAGGGCAGTGCTAGGGATGATCAGACTGCTGATCCCTAACGTTGCATTTTTACAGAAGCCTGGTGAAATAAGTTTTCACCTGATGCTGTTTATTTTCACATTTTCTTTCCGACACAACTTAAACTTGCTTCGAATCTAAAAGATTTCTTTTCAAACAAAGCAACTTGTTTTCAACGTACAGTAGAAAAGTTAGGGTCCCGTCCAATGACTAGTTTGCTTTGGTGTTGGAAAGTTTGCTTCGATTTAGTATATAATTTTGCTTCCAAATCATGACGATGCTATATTTAATCAACTACCAAAATGCTTCCATAGAATTATGGATTTTGTTCCCATCAAATAAAAAATTGTTTATTTCGAATGACAAGGCGGTATGCTTTCGCAGCTATGAATCATTGCTTCTGTTAAATGGAGAATTTGCTTTGATTTAGTATATATTTTGCTTCCAAATCATGATGATGCTATATTTAATCAACTACCAAAAATGCTTCCATAGAATTATGGATTTTGTTTCCATCAAGTAGAAAATTGTTTGCGAACCAACCTGTGGTTGAGATGGTTAGGTGGACAGTGATATCCCCAACCCACCAGGGTTCAAATCCTGGTGCTCGCATTATTCCTGAATTTATTTCAGAATTTCCGGCGATGCGCTTTTAGTAGGAGGAGACGTTCCCGTCGATGACGAGGCGTCTACGGTGACTTCGTGTGCATCCATTGAGAGGACCCATGCAACTATTTTCTCCACCTCAGCACGTCCATCTTTTACGCCGACAACGTCATGCCATGAGGCCATTTTGAGGAGGCATAGAGAACCAATGAACCATGGTTGCCACTGTGTAATTGGATGAACCGTCTCACATGCACCGCGAGCTCGCCATCGTCAACAACCTAACTGCGTTTTGGGCTTTTGGCCCTAGCACACTTGGCATCTTTATTTCATGCCGGGTTGTAGCACAAAGTCTGTATAGTAAAAGCATCAGGGAGAAACAATGAAGCACATACTAGCAATAGTTGAGACAAAAATTGGGTCAATGAAGCAACGCCAGCAGCAATTGAAGCACACGCAGGTAACGGGTGACGCAAAACTTCACTATTAGTTACTAAAAGTACATAGCTTCAATGGTCGTAGCAAGAATAATTACCATAGAAACATATGCTACAAGAAATCAAAGTAGGAAGCATGCCTAACACAAAGCAACTATTTGATGCTCTCATGTAGGGGTGCAGGACGGCGTCCCGCTTAGACCCGCATAAGTCGAATGGCAATACAATTTAAGCTAATCCACCCAAACTCAATTACTAGAACTAAACTGTCTGTATACGAAGCGAGGCAGATCGGGCGCCACGCTGCACCCCTACTCTCATGCACTAGAAGCATAGAAATTTTATTTTAGATTGCCGGACAAGATTTAGGTGCACAAGTTTAAGGTATGCCTAACATTGTTGTGCGCTACATTAAACCTCTACATTAGGAGCATGTATATGGTACAAATCAAGAAAGAATGATTAACCAGAAGCACTAGGCAAATAAATCCATTCACATCGAAAAGCAAATCAAGATAGAGGATATCTAAGCACAGGCGCGTTGCAACCGATCTAGACGTCCGAGCACACATGGGTTGTGGACTTGTGGTACCTTCACCTGGATGCACCAACGCACGGATACACGGGAGCTTTCGACGTAATGATGCACCAAAGGAACTACGTTGATGGCGGCTTCCACTCAAGCACGAACAAGGCAACAACTAGCATAGCACAGCCACGCACGGCAAGTCTAACGCGAGCGCCTGGTTCTTGTTTGAATGAAAAGATTAACTTGTCTTGATTGATAGAAATAGTACAGCTTATATATGTTTGGAAGAGACGCATCGCACAAGATGCGATGGTTGGAACCGATGCAACGGTTAGAGGAGAGGGGAAAAGAGATGTGTCGGTTGCTACAAGACGCCTGCATGCCGCAGGACAAGGGGAGATTTCCCTCTAATTAATATGCGTTAACTAATCACAACACTCCCCCTAATCTACACTTGTCCATATAGAATCGTCATATAATCATCAGGTAGAATCGTCATCTTGAAAGATTGTCCAGGTTGCATCATCATCTCAAAAGGATTCTTCTCCGGTGATTCTTCATTAATATACTTGATGAGAACCTGAAACATAAAACTCACAGAGAGAAAGAAAAGTAATATGATACTTCAAACAGGTACAGTTCAGGGAGACACTCCCCCTGATTCTTGCAAGTCCCGAAGTCGTCGCATACCAATTCCATGAACATATTTCTGAAATGTAGAATTTGGTAGAGACTTGGTAAATAAATCAGCAAGATTTTCACATGATTTAATTTGCAAGATGTTTATTTCTCCCTTTTTCTGAAGAACATGGGGGAAAAACCACTTAGGCGAAATATGCTTAGTGATATTACTCTTGATGTATCCTGTTTGCATCTGTGCAACACAAGCCGCATTATCTTCGTAGATAATGGTAGGTGATTCTATAGAACCAATTCCACATGACTTTTGTATGTGGTTTATCATTCTGCGAAGCCACACACATTCGCGTGATGCCTCAAATAATGGAATTATTTCAGAATGATTGGTAGATGTTGCCACCAGAGTCTGTTTAGAAGACTTCCATGATATGGCAGTTCCACCATGTAGGAACACAAAGCCGGACTGCGATCTGGCATTATGGGGATCAAATAAATAGCCAGCATCGGTGTATCCAATCATATCAGAGTCCTGATTTCTCCGGAACTGAAAGAATAGGCCAAGATCCTTTGTGCCTTGGAGATATCGAAAGATATTCTTAACTCCGGACCAATGGCGTTTGGTGGGAGCAGCGCTATGTCTAGCAAGTAGATTTACTACAAATGCGAGGTCAGGTCTGGTGCAATTTGCAAGATACGTGAGCGCTCCAACGGCACTAAGATATGGAACCTCATGTCCCAATATTTCTTCTCCATCGTCCCTTGGCCTGAACGGATCTTTCTCTACGTCTAGAGAGCGAACCACCACGGGAGTTTTAGATGGGTAGGATTTGTCCATATTGAATTTCTCCAATATTTTCTGGATATAAGCAGCTTGGTATACCATGATTCCTGAGGGAAGGTGCTCAAATTGAATACCTAAGCAAAATTTGGTTTTACCCAAATCCTTCATCTCAAATTCCATCTTTAGGTGATTGCGTGCTTCATCAATGTCATGTATGTTGCCAATGATGTTGAGGTCATCGACGTACACTGAAATGATGCAAAATCCTGTAGAGGACTTTTTGATAAAGACACATGGGCAATCACTACTATTGGAGTAGCCTTTTTGTAGAAGGAACTCACTAAGTCGGTTGTACCACATCCGGCCCGACTGTCTTAAGCCATATATTGACTTATTAAGTTTTACACAATACATGTTGCGTTTTGCGCTTGTATTCGGGATAGATATTCCGTCAGGAACCTTCATATACATG